ACAAATAGGTGATTAACTGACAATATTCAGATGGTCTGCTGAATGCCAACTCTAGAGCTTTTCTTGCCACAGTTAATAGTAGGCAGTAAATTAAGTTCAGTTCAACATTTCTAAAATAAGGCACACCATGACACTTCTATTTCTGTTACAAAGCATCACAGACTGTCCCTCCCCTCCCTGACACACATCTTTTTAAGACAGGAACTTCAATTCTGGCATGCAGATTGCCAATACAGTGCCCAAGGGCACCAGTGTGCTCACCGGTACTTCTTAAGACACTCACAAAAGTCCTAAGTAATTATTGGTTCAAAAAGCCACAAGAAATGCTTTTCCTGCTCAGTTCCTGTTTGCACTACCTCAGCCTCTTCTGCATTGAATATGCCCCCTTAAACATACCACATTTTATTGGGTGCCTGGATATTGGATGGCCCACCTTGCCATCCATTCTGAACAGCGGAGAGGTGCAAAGAGTTTTTCTCTGTGAGCAGGTGTAACAGTGGCAATATAGATATCCCCCCCACCCTCCCGATGCATAAATGGGGCAACAGATGCTCACAACATACTTTGTCTTTTTCTGCTCTTTTAGGTGTGGCAGTCATTTCGTATTATGCCATTTTAGGACTGGCACCCATTGCACTCTCTCAAAAGTCCACATGTGCCCTCTAGCCCAAAAAGGTTGGCAACCTCTGGCCTACAGCATAAAAAGACAATTCAAGTGAGACAAAAACCAGATTTTTGATTCCTAATCAGCAAAAATAGACAGGCAGTAGGAAGTGTCCATGAACCATGGCTGTGTTACTATTAAGGCTATTCCGCAACACTACAATCCAATTAGATCTTACTCAACAAGCAGCACCTTGATGAAATGGTTATCTGGAATGTCAGTTGATGTTTCACTGGAAAGAACAGGCAGCTTCACTCTTTCCCAAAACAGAGACAAGCTTTCTTGGAGGGAGTTGTATGTGTGAATGATGTACCACTTACAGATTGCATGTGGCACATGTGAACTCACATGCATGCTTCCATCCATTCACGAAGGGACAAGCAGGCTATTATTACACCCATAGTAAAGCTACTCAGCATACTATTGGATCAAATATGTTTAATTAATGCAAGCCTGTAGGGTGAAGAGACACCACATGTAGCTTGTTCTCAGACTTCAAGGTCAGAGAGCGTTAAAATAGAGTATTGTTGTGACACAGCTGTTGTTAAAAGGTCTAAACAGCTGGGAGCCTAGCTTGGATCAGAGAATAATTATAAAACAAAGACACATGATGGTGCAGCTGTTTGAAAACTATGTTATCAGGACTCTGCTGGAAAAGAAAAAGGGCTAGAATAAAATGCAATGGGCGGGGAAGCAGCAAAAGTACAGTTGCTATGACTCTCTAACTACAACCTTATTCTAGGTCACCAACGGCTAATATTAGGTTAATGTTAATTCCTATATCACACAAAAAAGCATATGGCCATAACACAGAAACTTATATGCAAGCAAGTAGTGCCTTCATATTTTGCTTTTGCCCTGGAACAGAGTGATGTGTGTGGTGCATTTTAATTTTCAGTGAACTATATATTGGCACCATCCTTCAAGATTCATGCCTAGATACTTCAGCGCTGCACCAAAAATAATCTTGCCATAAAAAGAACTAACAGTACAAGAGCCTGTTAAGCTTTGAATCTGCCTCATACACATTAACATGGAATACAATCCAGTCATATTCAAAAATAGACCCATAGAAATTAATGGCCATGACTAACTTAGGACCATTCATGTAAATAGGGTTGATTACCACCCATTGTATTCCAGTAGAATTCTGTGGAACAGCAAACAATGAAAAGGTAGAAAAAGATGAAATGTTTAGTGCTGCCACTGAGCTTTCACCTAAAGTGAACTTTGATGTGAACTAGGAGATTCTTCCTGAAGTAAAAACATGCAAGGAATTTTGAAGAAAGAAAGAAAAAAAGAGTTATGATAAAGACTAATGAATCTTGTCAGAGTTTCCCTCCTTATATTTATGTTATTAGAATGACACACTAGATTCTTGGGGTAGATTTAGATAATAAACATGGGGTAGATTTAGATAATAAACATGGGGTAGATTTAGATAATAAACATGGTAGATTTAGATAATAAAGCAAGAGTGAAGAATAAAATGCTTGATGCAAATGTTTCTAACTTTAGAGGTCTTTGTAAATGTTGTGTAATCACAGGATCTTAAAAGAAGGGGCACACATACCTACCTGTTCTTGATATAACCATTGATTCAAATAAAGCCACAGCTATTAGCCACTCACAGTGCAATCCTATGCATGTCTTCCCATTGATTTCAACGGGCCTTACCGTGTGAAAAGGATTGCAGCATCAGCCATTAGTTTCACTACTGATCAATAGCAATATAACCCCTCAACAAGTAACTTATCAATAAGGATTTCATTAGGAAAGAATGAAATGAAAACCAAAAATAGCAGCAGCTGAAAGGCATGAAAATAATTTGATTTACTTGGCTTTTATCCATCGCCACACTTTTTAAAATCCACAAACCAGAAAGAAAACGAAAGGAAATGTATGCATCAGTGGGGCAGTGTCAAAGAAAAATTAGATTTCCATGGTAACAAGCTACAGCCTAGGTAACAAAAATGCCTGCTAACAGTTGTGAGGCAGTTGCCGATATGGATTTTTTAGTATCAGATGGCTCTAAATATAAGCTCTTGCCTACAGCCTTAACGCACAATAGATATCATTACAAACCTTTTTTGTGTGTGGAAAAAATCAACTTAGATTTGAAGACCTGTTCCATAGCATGAACCTAAATAAAAACCTAATAAAAAGTTCACTAAATTATAGCACAGATAGCTCACATTTTCATAGTTAGAAGCTGCAGGTTATTGCTGGCTAGCAACACTTATTTTTTACACAGCAAGTTTCAAGCATTTCACATACTTCACATACACTGGGCAGGTTCACAGGTAACATCAAAATGCAGTATGTCATTTAAAAGGTCAGTCTTGGCTTGCACAGTCCCTTGTCCCTTCTCTTTATGCAGTGGCATAGCAACCCCATTTGGGGAGCCGCCACCATTTCTGAGCTTTTTTTTTGGAATAAATCACCAAAACTTCCATACCTGATGTTTTGAGGGATGGGCAGTGGCTTTGCCCCCCTGCAATGCCTGAGACACCCACCAAAGGCCATGTCTCCCTACAGCCCCACCCCCGTGCTGCCCAGCGATCCCCCTGAGCCCCTCCTTTCCTTCACTACTGCTTTATTCATTTAGATAAACTTATTTTCCTCCTATTCAGAACAGTTCGCCATTACATCCATCAGACTATGGTTTCTTACTCTGGTTCAGAAGGTCACCATAGTTTACCACTTTATATGTTAGTACGAACTATGTTTGTACTAAATGGGGAAGTAAATAAATGAGAGCCAATTATCCAGGAACTTTACAACAATCCTATGAGGTAGTCCAGTATTATAATTCTTATATTGCTGATGGGTGAGGGCCACAGCTGTGAGATTTAGCAGCTTGTTTAAAGTTTCCATAATGAGTTCATAACTGAGGTGAGATTTGAACCAAGGATTTGATGGCTTGCAGCTGCTGCTTTTAGCTATGAGCTTGTAAGAAATCTGGATGTGCCTGTTCAATGTCCATGAATAATAGGTATGGGAAGATTTTACATGTTCTCTTTAGGTGATGGAGGCAAAATAAAAGAATCCCAAATTGCTTAAGCCAGCAATTCCTAAAGTAATGGATATATAAACACACAGCACATGTCTTCCTTGGGTTCCTCATACAATGTAGCACAAGGGACTTCCAATTTTCTACCCAAAGAGATTCTCCCCCCTTCCCCATGGATGGTTCTTACCAAAGTATTTGTAAACCAGTTACTTTATCTATACAATTGTGGTTGAATGCTAATCAATCATAGGTGAATGAATACTTTGCAAATAAAGCAGTATTCAGCAAAATATAATCTAGTCATGTTTAAAGAGAAATTTCTCACAGGATACTTTGAATTTTTTTGCACCCAAGGCAGTAAATATGTATGCAGGTCCAGGTATGCAGATTTCAAATGTTACCTCCTCAGGACATAAAGAGCTATGTACAACATCCAACCAATGTATTACTGAGTATTTTAAATATTAACTCACATGTCCTTTTGTAGTTGTGTGTGGAGAGTCAATACTGCAACAGGGTAATCTTAACACCTGCTTCTGATGGGTGAATGCCTACCCATCAGAACAGCACACAACTTTTAAAGTGAAAATAGTATTCTTAAAGCTACAAGCAACCCACATGTGCACAAGCACTTCCACACAGAAACTGCTATTTTTACTAAACAGAAAGACAACCCTGGGGTACTTGGTTGCTGAAAAAAATAATTCTGAAGCTTTGGTATGCGGGATATTTAAACAGAAGTTTTTCTTTCTTTCCCAAGCACTGCAGAGGCAGGAATTTCAGGTTCAATGCAAAAATGCATTATCCAAAAATGCCATTTCTGACAATAGTGCATTGCAATGTAATTTTTTTGACTCTATACTACCCATAGTAAATAGTAAGGATACCTTCCCATGCCGCTTTAATTGCTACAAAGCAGATAAGTAGCTAGACTATTCTAATCTATATCTTCAGCAATAAGAAGCTAAATTTTGCAGCAAGTTAGGAAATCCTTATTTCTACTTCTCTGTGATTTCTAGTGAAATCAGTCCTGAATTTCAGGCACATAACAGTAAACATATTTTTAACATTTGTATTTTCAAGGCAAACAATATCATTCAGTGTGAAGCCATGAAAAACACTGGGAATGAAACTCAGGTGATTACAGGGATCGTCATCATTAATAACTGCTTCACACTTCAGGACAATCAATAAATCAAGTCCCCACAATAATAGCTGGTAGCTGCATAATTCCTGGGAAAACAACTATTTCTCAAACTGAACCAAGTCCAAATTTGTACTAGCAACCAGAAGCTGTGAAAGCATCCAAAAACCCAGCCTTACCTGTTTCAATAAGAACTTGTCTTCTGCATTGACTTTGAGAGAAATGGCCAGATGGATGGCAGACAGCACCACACCACTGATGACCGCAGCCCTCATCCTGACTGGCAGCAAGGTGTAGATGCTGTAGATGAAAAAGATAGTCCACCAGATGCCCTCCGAGGCACTTCGGGGCTGCATCAGCAAGCAGCCAACCACTTGAACGGCCAACACCACCAGAATGACAGAGTAGCACATGAGCCACATGTGGTCCTGGTGGAAATCATTGCGATTGCAGATGGCACCCAGAGCCACCATAAGCAGGATGGCCAAGGACAGCACCACCACATAGGGCACTTGGTAGTAGCCGTGAACAGTGTGGAAGAGCAGCATGACCAGGCACACTAAAACCAACACTGCCATCAGCATGGTCAGGCTGCTCTGATTAAGACGGAAAAAGTAGCGCTGGTAGAGGTGCTCCAGTTTCTCTGACTGAAACTTTTTCGACCTGAAGATCTGCAGCAAGCTACCACAGCAGCTGCCCATGGAGAAGACCATCTCAGACCGCCCTTCGCCATCCAGTTCTTCCTCCTCCTCCAACTCATCAATCTTGGCTTTGATCCGCTTCTCCTCTAGCCCCAGTTCCACACAGCGTGGATGCACCTCACCCTGCTCCACACCATAGCGTCTAGGACTCATGGCAAGCGATGGATCTCCTGCACGGCGAGAGTGCTGGCTCTTGTCAACCCCATGATCCTGCCAGGCAGACTTGGACCTGAAGCTCATCATCCTGCAGCCACTCACCCCGTGGTTCCTGCTGCTCGGTGACTCGTAGTCTTCATCACTTCTCCACCTGCTTTCCATACGGGAAGCTTTTTTTACTGAGGCCCTGGTAGAAAGAGGATAGGAATAGCCATTGGCTCTGGAGTCAGCCTCTCCCCAGGCAGAACGATGCTGTTCCGCACCTCCACCCCTGGGCACAGCAGAAGCTGCAAACCCCGGAGGGCTCACACTGTTGGAGCGGGACATGCCCTGCCAAGGCAGAAGAGAAGGGGGAGGGATTGTGGGGGCAAGTTATAAAGGAGTAGGAGGGAGAGAAATAAAATCACAAGGAATTCCACTCATAGCAAGGAAGAACCAACACTTCTGAGCAGTTTCTCTCACCCTATGGTGGAAGGTGCAGCAGAGGAAAGACATGTGTGTGTGTGTGTGTGTGTGTGTGTGTGTGTGTGAGAGAGTCCTGGCCGAGTCCAAATAAAACAAAGTTCTCAGTGATAAAGGAATTCAAACCCTTAAGGTGACTGGTTCGCCAGCCAGTTGAATTCCCCTTCCCTCCAGAGGCTGCTGGGAATAGAAAAAAAAATTCAACCAGAATTTAAAGAGATCCACTGAGAGCTGGGAGGCAAGTTCCCCTACCTATGGAACTCTGGTGAGGATTCCCACTCTGTCATTTTCACAAGTCCCCAGTGCTTTGGCCATTTGTTGAAACACGACTTCCATGCATAGAAAAGCAAATGTGATGGAGGCAGCTGGGGTTTTGTTTTCTCCCGCACCTTAAGCAAAGACCACCTTCCAGTCGAAATGCATCATCAGGGAAAAAGCCACCACGATAATTCCTCTCTCAGTGTGAGGTCAAGGCGATCCTGCCGCCGCAAAAGGGACCTGCTGGTCAGAAGGGTCCTAAAGAGGCTGCATATTTCAGTCGCTGATAACGCTCTCCAGGAAGCGGAGCAAAACGACCCAGTACCGTCATTCTTAATTTTGCCCCGCGGGCAACTGCTTATTTGTTGGTCATCTAGAGAGGTGGTGCAGAGGGCAGCCACAGCAGCAGCGCTGGAGGCGTTGGGAAGCCGGCTGGGTCATTGTTTGATCCCTCCTATTTAAGGAAGGTGGCCCTACAAATTGGCTTGGAGAACCACAAGCAAGCAAGCCTCCCAGACACCCCTCTTTCCCGGCTCTTCCTTCTCAAGGCGAACACGACATTGCTGCAATGGGGAAGGAATGGCATACAGCAGCAGCCCTCGAAGCCTTGAGTTAAATGTATTTATTGCAAGCTCTCGACTCAAATCGGAGACTGGAGTGCCGGAGGCATCATCCTTTTCCCTGCTCGAATGAACCAAATGGGTGGGATTGCTGAGGCTGCTGGGACGGCAGTGCTGCTTGCCCTTGGGATGGCACATGGGAGGGGGGGGAAATGTATAAAAATAAACAAGATCTACAGGGTGATTCAAATCAAGGACGGCGGGGAAGAGGTGGGGGAGGGGAAGAAGAGGCGCAGGTGGGTGATCAGAAGAGGAGAGATTCCTGCGTCTATATCATCTCTCCAGCGAACAGATCCATGGAGGGAGTCCTCCGCCAAAAAGCCGACGTTGCACTGCTGCCTCCGTGCGAGGATGCGCTGTCTCCACTGCAGGGGCCAGCAACAAGCAGCACGGCTCGCTCTCCCGCCGAAGCAGCGATGCAAAATACAAAAACAAAGCGGGTGGGGGAAATCCCACAGCACCACACAAATTTTTCCACAACGAGGGGAGGGGATGGAAAAAGACCCGCCGAGGCTGACTCCGTACTGCTTATGCACACTCCACCAGCCTCCTCCTCCTCCTGCTGCTGCTGCTGCTTCTACTGGGTCTCAATGTATCGGCGTGCGGTGTGGAGGGCTAGGGAGGGGGCAGCCTTCTGTGCCCCTTGCAGCCAGCCAGAAGAGTGGTCCTCAGCTCATTGCAAAGAGAAACGGCACCTCCCGCGAAGAGCCGCCGCCGCTTCGGCCTCTCCTAGCAGATAACAGGACCGGCTCCCCTCAGCGAAGCTGCAGCGGCGGCGGCTGCCTCACCCGGCCCGGCGCGCGCTCGCTGCCTCACACGCTCCTCTTCGCAGGAGAGAGGCAACCCGCCCCTTTCAAAACCAGGCTTTGTACGGCCCCTCTTCCACAGACGCTACTGGCCGGCATGGCTCCGCCTCACGCTCGGCCCGATTGGCTGGCGACCAGCCGCCGCTTTCCGCCACAGCGCGGGCTCCAGGGAGCTGGGCGGCTGAATCGGCTTCCCTTCCAATAGGTTGCCCAGTTAGGAGGGAGGAGGGCGGGGAATGTTGGAAGCCGCGGCTGCAGCTGGCATCTGCAAAAAAAATCAGAGTCAGATAAATAATTAAAGAATGGCCGCCTCCCGCGCGCGCGAGGAGCTGGGGAGGGGGGAGGGGCCCTCCTCTGGTGTAGTTTTAACTCCTTCGGGGGCATTGCCGCTGAGCCGGATCTTAGATGAAAGCGCCCTCATCACAGCAGGGCGGAATAGGAATCACCTGCCTAAGGACTGTTGCTACGCTGATTGTATTATTTCTGTGTTTGTAAGCTCAGCTAGAATACCCACCTAGACTGACTGAGGAGCAACCTGCGTGGATAAACATACGAAGTTCCCTTTTACTGAGTCAGATCACTAGCCCAGTATTGCCTACTCTGACTGGCAGCTGCGGTTCTTGGGTATTTCACAGCACGTGCTACCTCGTGTTGAGTTTTTTTTTTTAGCTGGGGAGCCAGAGGAGTTGTTTGTTCTGGTCAAACTTCAAATCTCTTTCAAGATTTAGCCAGTCCCATATAGAGACAAGGAAATAAATTTGCATCAAGCATCCCCAGCATCATCTACCATTTAGCTTTATTATTATTATTACTACCTGCTACCCCAATATCCAAGTGGTGTGAGTCCAGGGGTTTCAGGCACTTACCCAGGGTTTCTATTTCCTTTTGGAAATGAGGCACAGCTGAAACTGCGGTGTCTTTATGATATATGTTTTCTTTACACATAATGTATATACAACCTGAGCCTACCATGGAGGGGCTCACAGCATTCACACCCTAAGAGAGTCCTGCTTATCCCATAGCCCCCACAGCTTTGGATTCAAATGACACCAGCCATGGCTCGCCAACTTTCTTTCCAGCCAACTGCAATCCTAAAACTCAACCCTGCTCTGTCTCTGCAAACTCTTTCCCAGATGAAAGAGGGGCTCATACTCATCTGCTGTCAGGCCCTGAGTCTTTGCTTTGTGGATTGCCCATTCTCTCAGGCAATTTCCTGAACACAGGAAAGTGGTTTGGCCTCTATTTTAACAATTTGTTAAATCCAGCGTCTGACCACCAGTTGTAACACTCTAACATTAGATAAATTCTAACACCAAGACTCAAGAATTTAGAACCTGGCACCCACAAATCCTGGCACCCACAACTCATAATAATAATAATAATAATAATAATAATAATAATAATAAGAGTTACAACATTTAGGGCATGTGGAGAAATTATTTGGATAGGATCAGTGGCGTAGCGTGGGTTGTCAGGACCCGGGGCAAGGCAAGTAATTTGCGCCCCCTAACCCATGGATTTTGCGCCCCCTAACCCGTGGGGCAGAGAGCTGCGAGTGCGAGCGCCCCCCCCAGATGTTGCGCCCGGTGCGGCCGGCCCCCCCTGCACCCCCCACGCTACGCCACTGGATAGGATTGTCTGCTTATGTTTTATGCTTTGAAAAAATATTTCAGTGAGCTCTGCTGATGTCAGAGTATAAAGTTTGAGGCCTTGGGCTTATGCTCCCATTTAAGGTCTGTTTAGCAGAACCTGCTTGGTGAAAGAAAAATACGATGATTGCTTTTAATGTTTTTAGACAAGGCTTGGATAAGATAAATTAATTCTGATTTGTCTGGGAGACAACACACTCTGAATGGTTGGAGGTTCTGGACAGTTAACTGTCAATCAGATGATTTTCAGTGAGGAATGTCAATTGGGAAAGGCAGTGTGGGAAGACAGCTGAAGAGGGAAGTGAGAGGCAGAGAAAACTGAGGTGAACATGGATTATGGAGGCCTGAGTTTTAAGCTAGTTATCACAAGTGTTTAGGCTAAAATGCTGCCTTGTATAATGGTCCTATCTGAAGATGACTACAGAAGTACTGTTGTTTTTTTAAAGTCAGCTAAACTGTCCAAGCTCCCAGAAGTAAACATGGATGAGATTTAAGGGTCCGTCAGAAGTGTATTATACCAAGTAGCTGGACCAGTGTGTGAGGGAATTTAGCTTGGGAGGTTTAGGGAATTTGGCCTGAGGTAAAAGCCACTTACCGGGACGCGGGTGGCGCTGTGGGTAAAAGCCTCAGTGCCTAGGGCTTGCCGATCGAAAGGTTGGCGGTTCAAATCCCCGTGGCGGGGTGCACTCCCGTTGCTCGGTCCCAGCGCCTGCCAACCTAGCAGTTCGAAAGCACCCCCGGGTGCAAGTAGATAAATAGGGACCGCTTACCGGCGGGAAGGTAAACGGCGTTTCCGTGTGCTGCGCTGGCTCGCCAGATGCAGCTTTGTCACGCTGGCCACGTGACCCGGAAGTGTCTCCGGACAGCGCTGGCCCCTGGCCTCTTGAGTGAGATGGGCGCACAACCCATCTCTGTCAAGACTGGCCCATACGGGCAGGGGTACCTTTACCTTTACCTTTAAAAGCCACTTAGATGGTGTAGTCAGCTACATTTAAAAACATTAAAGACTCCAATGTAAATATCAGTATTCTCTTATGTACATAATTTCCCTTAAATAATTATGCTTAATCTTTCATCCTTTCTCCAATGTTTGTGCCTATCACACATCTGGACCTATTATACCAAACTACAAGGCTTTAAAGGTATTCTAAGAGAATGGTGGCAATGGAAATGGGTCACATTGTCACTGAGGAAAGCAAGGAGTTTCATAACAAAAAAATTGATACAGTAAACTGAGAAGTGTCAGCTAATAAGGAATGCCATCATCCTAATTAGTAGTATTGTCAGCATTCTAATAAATAGCATTTTCATTTCCTGCCCCTTCCACAAAAGTTAACCAAACACCTGGAAGAGATAGAGTAGTAAAGTGTTAAAAGTGTCAGACCAGGTATGAGGAAATCCAGGTTAAAATCCAGGCCAGTGTAGGAATCTACCTGTTCCCCCTTTCCCTCCAACCGTCTGCATGGCTGCAGATGTAGCAGAGGCCCCATCACTCCATTCCACATAGTGACAGTGGTTAGGATTGCATCCTAAGACATTGCTGCAGCACCTAGAAGAGGATATACATTTTGCAAAGTAAGGTAAAGGTATTATATATATTATATTATATAAAGGTATTATATATTATATTAAATATATAGCTATGAGCTTGTAATGTGGCTTTAGCTATTTGTCTCTTTTATTTATACCAATTAAGTTTTTGCATCAGCTGTTTAAGCATACATGGAATGTTCTCATGTTTATATTAATATCTTTAACATGCTGACCAATTAAAATATGACCAATTAATCAGGCAGCAATTTTATAATGTATTATATTTTACTACTTTAAAAAATTACATTTCACAAGGGAAAATGACTTTTCCAAGACAATGCCTCCTACAACACATGCATGAATCACCTAAAAAGCAAAGAAAATGTACTTTCTGCTTCAGAACGATTGTCTTATCTGCAAATTTAATTGATTAACAGAGTAGTGGGGAACAGGACGGGAATGGGAAGAAACAAAGTATAGGATCTGAAGGTGTACAGTGAGTCATGGGGCAGGAAAAAAGAGAGCAGTGATATATTTCCTTTCTTCTTCCACCCCCTTCTCCAGGTCTTCCTTTTTACAATTTCCTATCATTGGAAATGAGTTGTTAGGGTTTTTTCATTTCTATATATAAAGCAGATTATAAACTGCTTCTCAGATAAATATCAGCGTGGTGTGTAACAAAATTTCCAGAAGCATAAAATCCCATAAAAATACAGAATAATTGCAAGAATCACTGGCTCATCTTAAAAAGTTTAAACCACTGAATATGCCTGTTAACACAAACAAAAAATCTTATAGAGATTTCTGAAGGTTGGCAGAGAGGATACTTGCCAAATCTGTCATGGAAGGGCATTTCACAGCATGGGAGAATGGGCACACTTGGCCCGATCTGCCCCTGGCACACCCCGTTTTTGTCTCTAGCCATGTTGCAGCAGTTGAAGGGAAGGAATATACTACCAACATTTGGGAGTGAACAGTTGGTCAGGTGTAACTGTGTCTGCCTCGTCTGCATGAAAAATGTAAGAGTCTCTATCTGTGTAATATTTATGATGATTTTAGAAGATTATATTCATGGAAAATGCATGCAGTTTCTTGTTGTTGTTTTCCTGACATCACAGGACCCAGCCTAGTGTACTTGTGGTTCTCAAGTGGCCTCTCATTCAGGCATGGATGAAAACCAGACCAGCTAGGCTTTGGCAACGTGGTAGCCTCATGCATGTGCAGACCATACCCAGATTTTGCAGCTGATTCCTTTTTGCTGCGTAAGAAGTGGCAACCCTTCTTAAGGGTGGACATCCCCTAATTTCAAGAATTTGACTATATCATGGGAACAATCATTGTCAGAAAAGAGGAGGTGGCAACAGTTAGGGGTTGTGGAGATACAGAACACTTAATAAAACATCACATGCAAGGCAAACCACCTGCCAAAAACCAAACAGACCCTAAGGAGCTTCCACACCAGCAGAGACTGCAGATGAATAAGTTTTTTTATACTAAAAGATAGTCCACGGTAGGGTGAAAACTGGGTTAAATGGCAAAAAAGTATAGGCTGCTCATTTGATAATAGTAATCATGTGGATACTGTACAAAACCTCCATTCATGAGTAGCACCAAGTCCCCAATAAACTGCTGTGTAGAAGTGCCTTATTTTTATCTAAGCATTTTGACACATACAGCTTTTATTTGGAGGCTAAAAGAAGCCACTTCTACAAATAAGCGGAATCATCACCATCGTACACCAAGAAGAGCACATGGTAAACATCCTAGCTTCAGTTTGCTTACTAGGATGAATAATTTCTATTACAAATTATAAGGCCTTTGAAGTACTGGTTTCAACATTTCACATGAGGACCCCACAACTGACAAAACGACATAAATACTCTGCCTTTAATGGATGTAGAAAATTATTACCATACCACATCTTTAGTCTGAGTCTTCATAATATTTTAGACT